GGGAGCGGCTTGAAGTAACGGGTAGCGAGGAATGTGAGTTGTTCTGAATTTAATACAATAGGAGTTTCGGAAAAAAGGAGAGGGATGGGCGGATCAAATGAGGGGAGCCGTGGATGTGTGGTTTTAGGGGTGGGGTGTGTTATTGTTAGGGGTGGGGTCAAAACCCCCCAAATTTTTTTTACATTTTTGATTGGTAAGTGCTGTACGGCGCTCGCAACTGTGTAAGGTCATATGAGCGTGTGGGACACATTAAACATTTTCAGTTAGTAGGAAATTTGGAATTTTGCCCGGGTGGCGGCCGAATCTAACTCTTATCGATTTGGGCCACTAAGGGATCTTAAACATGAGTAACTTGCACACGGGACCCCCGAGATTTTTCGCCGTTATCCGAGAAGGCTGGGTGTAGATGTTTCCTACCATACGATCAGGGGTGTGGCTGAAAGACAGCAGTAAGGAGCGGAGAAGTAACGGTAGAAAGGCTGCAGAAAGAGCCAGGAGCCCATAGGAGAGGCAAAGGAGGTGAGGAGGTGGGGGACAGAAAATGGAGACGAAAGTAGACGACAGAACATGGCTAGAAAGCAGGAAAGGGGGTAAAAAGAGACAGTTTTGGAGAAGAAAAATTTTCGGCGCTATCCAGATTCGAAACCAGGACCTATTGAATGAGAGGCAAACACCTTAACCTCTAAGGCCACGAGAGCCCCCGGAGACACAATTGTCTGAGCTAGTACCACGGGGGGGGGGGTTATAGTAAGTTCTAAGGTCCTTGGTTAGGACCAACAAGAGGGTAGGGAGTAGGGAGATGCTGAAATAGTCTTGGATGCGAGGAATTTGGACAGTTTTTATGGGTGGTTGGCGGGTACTATGTGCTGACCATCATCAATAATTTATAAATATAAAAGACGCCAGCCATCCATGTCCAGGTGCTGTTTCATCCTTCTTTCTTACCAAACAACTGTCGTCCTTATCTCTTTATGCGTAACTTTTCTTCGTATGTTACTCTCTAGTAACGCCTCTAAATATCTGCGGCACTCATAAATAAAAATTATTTGTGTTGCAAGTTCTGTAAATTTTGTACTAAAATTAAAACGAACGGTTTTATTATTGAAAGGATGGGGGTTAGAGAGAGGGTAAAAATAGAAAGGAGTGAGGTCAAACAATAAAATAAGAGTGGACTGTGGGAAGTGCGTATATGGGTGTGTGTGTGTGTGTGTGTGTGTGTGTGTGTGTGTGTGTGTGTGTGTGTGTG